AGATAAAATATCAATGTCTTGTGTGTTTTGAACAAATAAAGTGTGTGTCTTTATCATACCAGTAAATGAGAATTATTTTTAAAGTTTTTATATATAATTTCAGGGTTTAAAGATCAGTGATTTTCAGTGCCTTCAAATAGAAAAATTGGCTGGTTGCTAAGGAAATTACTTTGATCAGGTTTCCATAGTAACCATGATCCAAAACATTTTTTATTTTACATACATGGATCATAGGTCAAGAGAAATCTATGTTTGGAAAATCATTGAATTCTGAGAACCTGAGTGTATCACTCAAATATCACTTTTGCATGATTTTTACACGGACTGGTACTTAAAATCGTGTTCAGAAACCTTTTTTATCTGGAAATTATTTAAACTACGAAGTTTGAGACGCATTTGATTGGCACATATCCTTGCATTTTTGCAAAGTAAGCTTTATTCATAACATTTAACATGTTTAAGAAAAGACATATTTTGTTGTGCATGAAGGAAAAATATGAAAACCATGATCCAGAAAATTCAGAGTACACTGTAGAAATTAATGTGAGAAAGCAAAACCAACTTAACACAATTGTCAGGCCATGTTCAGTGATATGCACATCCTGTAAAATACAAACAATCACAACAACTCGTGTCCTGTTTTTTTTCTATAAAAAAAAACTGGCACACGTGATTGACGTGATTTTATGAAGAATCGAATATCTAAGTTATAACAATTCATTATATTTAAGTTATATTTTGAACTAACATAGAGAAATTTGATTTGTAATCAACGCAACTAAAGTCTATGTGCAGGCCCCTTTAAAATTTAAATAAATGGAAAGGCGCCCTTCTGATAACACGTTATATTAAAGCTATATGAAATTTAGCTTTATTGACTTCAAATATACTTTGTACAATGTATTTAAAATTTGTAACAACTAAGCAATATTCGTAAAATTTGTAAACATTTTTTTCCAAAAAGATTGGTAAAACCTCAGCGTTCTTTTCTTTTTTTTTTTTACCTTTCTGAGTTTCTGACAGCAGACAAAAAGTTGATAATGCACTAAATTAAAAGAGTCCGTCCATTTCTGATGATTTTCCTTATTCGCATTCTTTTAAATGACATGACCATTGTGCCCATGGGGATATCAAACACTGGCGGATTCAGGGGGGGGGGTCACACCCCCCCCCTTAAATTTTAAAAGTATGATATGACTAGTATTAATAATGCCGTACTTTGGTACATGACTAACCGATACTACTATTAATGTGCCTGGTTTTACTCTTGAATTGCACGAAAACCCATGGGTTTCCGGGGGAAACTGAGTACACGTACACAGTATATATTAAAACCGTTTAAATAACTGTTTAGAATCAACTTTTTAAGGTTAGTAAAATATATAAGCACATGGACACGGTACTGACCAAATACGGCGAAGAACATCAATCTTACATTTACACGCTTTTACATACTGGAGTAGTTTATCCAAAGAAAAGTGTAGGAATGCAAGTAAATACTCGCAATGATTCTTCGTAAACTTTTTTCTTATATCCCAGATAGTATGCTAACATTGGGCCAACGTTGGGCCAATGTCATCGGTTACATTGGGCCAATGTTGGCAAATGACATTGGCCCAATGTAAGTTTGCTCATCGGGCCAATGTTGGCCCGATATGTTGGGCCAACGTTGGCCCAATGTAGAGTGTTATTTCTACAGATATTGGCCCAACGTTGCACCAACATTGGCCCAATGAATGCGACATTTGGCCAATGTTGGCCCAATGTCATCAAGAACGTTGGGCCAATGTTGGCAAATGAAGTTGGCCCAATGTCATTTTGCTCATTGGCCCAATGTTGGCCCAATATATTGGACCAACATTGGCCCAATGTGTATAAACATTTTATTGTTATAAATCTGTATATTAACAAATCCGATCGTCTCTACAATCAGAAAAATATCTACCACCAATCCTACTTGAAAATACAAGTTAGCTTTTCTAAATCTACAAGTAGTATCAGACTTGTTAAACTTCCTACAATTTATCAAAACAAAATAAATTATCAATGATAAATTTATTGTTTCTACACAAGGAAAGTAAATGGAAGTATAAAATAACATTTTTTTTGATACAGTTAAAACAATAAAAAAAAGTTGCCCCTTGTTTAGATTGAAATTTGTATATAATTGAATAAATTTTCAAGTTTTCGATTCATTTTACTTATATACACTTTTTATTAACAGGTTTATAACCAATCACTGTCCTCATTGTATTTTTGAATTTTCCTCTTTCTTTTCCTGTCTGTTCCTATCCTTCCTTCATGATCGTACGCAGTGAAATTCCATAGCAATTGCTTCAGCATACAAGCGGTTAATTCGAACAGCTCCTTTAAACGAAAAATGAATCAATTTTATTGAGCAAAAAAGAAAGAGAAATGCTGATGCCTAAAATTTAAGCAGTACTTAATTTACACACGTTTATAGTATTTCTAATTGATTCAGTGTATTCGAAACTATAACTACATAAAATATTCGATTATTAAAAGATTGAAGATTTCTTCTGCATTTATTATAATGTATAACTAATAGTATTTTTCAGGGGAACAGAGCACGTTAATTTGATTACTTACTTTTTAAATCCAAGTCATCTTTGAAAAAGCCGGATTTCTTTATCTGTCTTCCAATGGAATTCTTTGCAATTTTGTTTTAAAAACATGGCAACAAATACTCCCCTCTTCATTTACCAAGTTATTTCCACTAATTAAATAAAATGAGAACTTTAATCATAAGAGATTTGATTTCCCTGAAACATGTGAAACACAAAGTATCTATTCCAAACTTACTTTTCCTTACGGTAGAAAATATAAGAGAAATTTATGAATCGAAACAGACCCAGCCAAAATTTCAAAGATATTTAAAAATAAAATTTACAAATTATATTTTGATTAAGGTAAAAAATTAGCATAGATCAATGATACATTGATTTTATTTATATACAGAAAGGACACATGCAGTGATTTGCGACTGACCTGACTAAAGCAAGCTTAATTAGAAAAAGATAAAGATCGCATGAAACAAACTTTATATTTTGTGTCTAAAAATCTGAAATAATACTTACATTTCCGTATGTGAATGTCTGGACATACATATAGTTCTAAAAATCCGCATTCAAGAACACACATATCAAAGCTTTCTTTTTAACATAAAATCTTCAACGTTCTGCTGCTGGAAACATCCGAGATTAAAATGTTAGGCGTGCTAAAAGGATGCAGATTTGACCATTCTGTCCTATCAGATATCACAATTACCATAGAAACTGGCCAGTCTCACGCTGTGAAAACCCCTGTCCTAATTGCGTGGTCAGAAAATGTTCTCTTATTTCAGAAAATGCCCCCTAAATGCAACACTTTAGAAAGTGTGTGTCTTGTTCGTCTTATATCTTTTTTATGCAAGTTAATTTTATTAACTTATTATTGTTTAACTTTAAGTTAAATTTATGTTATGTTTTTTTTTCTCTAAAACATTTTCTTTATAGAACTGTTAGTGTTTAAATATGTGTAAAGTTTCACAAACTAAAAATAAAACTTGATATACATCGTCATGCATGTTTTTTAGGTACTCATGGTATATATGTAACATTAAATGTATATAATTAACTACAGTATTTCATTTTCTTTCACTTTCCATCTTTTTGTCCCATTTTATAATAAACATTTCACATGTTTCCTGAATTATGAATTCACTCCAATATTGGTTCAACGTTGTCTATACCAGAAATTGTTCCGAAAAAGGTCGTGACTCATCAATGTTGGCCCAATGTTGTACTCCCAACAAAATCTGTCAGTTTAGTGGTGACAAGCTACCAACAGTGGCCCAACGTTGGGCCAACGTTGTTTTCCCAACCAACCTTTGCCTCTGAGTAAAATATTGTAAAGTTGACATTTACCCAACATTGGGCCACCGTTGTAAACAGTGGTCCTATGTTGGGCCATTGTACTGTCCTCACCTCAGCTTTTGAGTAAAATAGGGTTATCTTGACATTGACCCAACATTGGGCCAACGTTGTATGTCCAACAAACTATAACAAAATAAGAGCGTGATTCACCAATGTTGGCCCAACGTTGGACCAATGTTGTACTCCCAAAAAAATCTGTCAACTTAGTGGTGACTAGCTAACAACACTGGCCCAACCTTGGGCCAACGTTGTGTCCCAATCAAACTCGGTCTTTGAGTAAAATAGTATAATGTTGACATTAGCCCGACATTGGGCCAACGTTGTGTCCCCAACCAACCTCGGCCTCTGAATAAAATAGTGTGATGTTGACATTGGCCCAACATTGGGCCAACGTTGTAAACCCAACGCCAACCATCGGCCAACGGTCCAACCATTAGCCAACGTTGGGCCAACGTAGTCATGCTATCTGGGATGCTAGTGCTTTGAATTTCTAAAATTTCATTCGTCATAGTACCCCAAGCAAAAATTTTTCTTAACAAATCATGCCAAAATCACAAACAAATCATATCAAACTCACAAATTCATGATTTTGAACTATGATTTAGACATGATCCATTAAACGGATCATACAGAAATCATAGATGACAAATAAGGAAGTATGATCCTGACGTGGTTTGTTTCTGGGTCATGAGTCTGCTATGATTTTCACGCGATTCTGGCATGTGCCATTAACTTAGAAAAAAAGGAACGTGAGTTTGAAATGATTCGTTAACTTTAACTGCTAAAAGTATGTGATTTTGATATGATTTCTTAACTTTGTCTTTAAATTCCATACGAGTTACACGTGATCTGTTAACTTTTCTGTTGAGGATCATGAGTTTTATATGATTTGTTAACTTTGTCAGAATTGGTTGTATGATCCCGATATGGTTTGTTAACTTTGTCATCTATGATAGGTGAAAATGCAAGCTTTAAATTAATTCACTCCACATATGCTCTAGCTTGGAGAATCAAACAACATGCATATTTATTTATAATTATTGTTTTTATATATTATATATCAATAATAGCCATATTTAAAAGAACAGGAAAATTAAGTTTTAATAATTAAAATGCATACAGTATGTTCAAGTAGATTCACAGACAATATTTTTTGAAGTTGAATGAAATGACAATTAAATATATAAAAACAATAGTTTATAAATAAATTAGCACACAAGTATACTGTTTAAATAACACAACCAGGATTTTAAAAAATCTCTTCACATAATATTTTGCAATTCACTCCCAATCCAACTCTGAGGCATTAGATTAGAATTGGCTCACTGGTCAGTTTCAGAGTCATAGTAACCTCGTTATGCAATTTTCCTGCTGGGCAGCACGCTGTAGTGTATAGTGGTTTGCAGCTTATCTAGGTCAAAATTTGAATTCTGATAAACAAGATGTGCGCTACTTTCTTGTTGCCGGTTTAAAAGAAAAGACTTTGCATCATATAAGCAACATAAATATTTGCTGGACTATTAACTCTACTCGGTGAGTATAATTCATTAATTTTACTAAATGATTTTTTTTTTATTTCTAGCTTCTACCAGAACATGATTTAATTTTCCTTTGTATATGTGTAGAAGAGACACACCAAAGCTGAATTTGAATTTGAAATGAAAACTTAATTTAAGCATCAAATTGACATCCTTGATTCAAATATTTTTTTGTACATGTGTAATGTTAATCGTTATATAAAATGTTTATTTATAAAAATGAAATTCTTTTGTCATGTTTATAGCTCAATCTTCATGATCAACATCTGAGTTTCATTCAAACTGCCACATTCAAAAGACCCGCTTTTAGTGAAGACAAAATTTATGTACGTAAATAATATAATTTTCAAAAATATTCTCATGGTGATAAATCTAATTCTTTTCATTAATGATATGGGGAATTACTTGAATATTTCATATTTTCATAATTTAAAGATGATTACATGTATATGTTGATCGATAAATAAACAACATTTTCTCTGCGTTTCTTTTCAGGGTGCTACACAAATAGAGAGCTTATATCAGATGATAAACTACTAACTGTAGTTCTTCATTGGGAGTATTTTCAGTGTTTGTGATTCTGAATGATAGACCTTCCACTCAGCTGATTCTATAGTGACCAAATGTTGTAATTACATGCTTTTTCTGAAGAATCATAAATAAGCAGTGGCATCAATGAATGCCGGATTATTCTTTAAGAAGAATGGATTTCTGTGATTCTGTTCGTATAAAATTCAGTGAATACATGTAGTTTGGATTATGTTTTATTTTTAAAGTGTCATCTGATTAAGGAAGATCATTTGTTCGGATTATATTTACATGACGTCATAGTTCATGTTACATATGTGTATAATATTTCTTTTTTATTTTTGGTAACTTAAATTATATATCAAATATTAAAGGGATCTTTATTGCAAATATCAAGGTGTTTATTTAAATTGTACATTAAGAAGTATAATTTTCCTATGACATGTATGAGTTGTTAGCTTTAACAGATCATACCAGGATCATGATTTTGATGCGAGTTGTTAGATTTAACAGATCATACCAGGATCATGGTTTTAATGCAAGTTGTTACATACAACAGATCATACCAGGATCATGGTTTTAATGCGAGTTGTTGGCCACAATAGATCATACCAGGATCATGGTTTTAATGCGAGTTGTTAGATACAACAGATCATACCAGGAACATGGTTTTAATGCGAGTTGTTAGCTACAATAGATCATACCAGAATCATGGTTTTAATACGAGTTGTTAGAGCTCTACAATAGATCATACCAGGATCATGGTTTTCTTGCTAGTTGTTTAGTGTAACAGATCATCTTAGAACCATGATCCATTAGCTCATTTGCATGTGAAATTTTCCTATACCGAAATCATACCAAAACCATGATTTACACACGAGTCATTAGTATGATCCAATAGGCTATTTTTTCTGTTTGGGACATTCGCTGAAGAAGATTTGTATTATTCAAAAAATGGCAGGAAATAATGCACCAAATAGAAAAAGATTTTTGCCATCATTTCATATCAGTTTATGTGCGTACTACTGTAAAGGTTTAAACTTTGTTTATCCGTTATTTATTGGATCCACGCCTCAGCTGATATTAAGCGAGTTTTGATACACACGCTCTGACCTAGTTAGAACATCCTATCCATCGCTGGCCATCATTTACGCAATAGCTAAGATGACTACATAATTAAGAAGATATATTTTGAAGATCCATCACCACCCAGGCGGTATTGTGTGACTGACTCTCTAATATTTCTGTGCAGCTTGTTTTCTTAATCGATAATAGACAAATCGCTCATCTTTTACATCTCTAGTCTATATTTAGAAAATCGCATCATCGTCAAGTATTGACCACTCGGTGCTCCTCGGATGGCTTGTGCCTCGCACTATGGAGCACAGCGGTGTCAGCCGAGGATTAATGGTTGATTTAAATGGCAGCTTACTCTGGGACTTCACATCCGGAAATCAAACTTAATGTGTCATCTCTCGTGAGAGATGACAATAAACAGTTCGATACCTCGGACATGCTCTAAACAAGTTTCAACAACGTTCATAATAGCGAACCCTAGCGGCAGTTGAAAGGTCTATGTTTTGTCCTTACGGTTTTACAAATACAGAGCATTTACACTTACCTGCCCTTTATTGAACATTATTTTTGTATGAGAGGTGGAGCTAACATCATAAGAATGAATCTAAAATTAGACGGATGAATAACAATGACATGTATTAAAATATACGAGATCTCTATTCCATCCTCTTATTTATTCTGTATCATGGCACAAGTAAAATATTTACAAAGGTTAAAAGTGTGTGAGCCCATCCATGTAAGTAAAGAATATTTTAAATCGATGGCTGACTATTTAACGTGTTCGAGCACAGTGTCCTAGCTAGTTAGCACAAAACATGCTTCCAATAAGTCACGTGACGGAATTTAGTATTCACAAAATTACCTGGGGAAAGATATCACGTATTGAATTACATGTATAATATCCAACTTGTCACAGTTCTTGGTTACAATAGATAGAGCGAGTGTAAGAAGAAGCAGTTTTTTTTCTCTTTTTAACCCTGAGCGCATGTTTGTCTATTAATCTCCTTTGAACACAACATTATTTGTGCAAATATACAACTACTGTTAAAAGGAGAAAAATAGACAAACATGCGCTGACTATGTATAAAGTCAGTAAAAAAGTGGGCGTCCTCATTATCGTACGGAGATTGAAGAATTGTGGCGACCCCCGCCTTAAAAGACAGATTCCTACCTCGTAAATACATACTTTTATTTATTGTGATTAAGTAAAGTTGTAGAATAGATGTTGATCATTACTGCAATTGAAAGAAAATTGTCTGTTTTAAAAGTTTATTTTGACGCAAATTTCGCATATCCTTAAGTGGAGTCATCCTTTGTGTAATACTTAAACATAACCTTTTTGTTACTTTAAATCAGTAAGTCATATTAATACTGGCAATTTAAATTTGAGTAAAATATGAAAGTAAAAATATAACATACGTAGCGTCGGAATTGAAAATTAACATGTAAATATCCGATCGCGACAGTTTAGATATTTTATTTGTGATCCCCTCATCAGAGGGACATTGTAACGACATTGCATGTAATGATTGTTGTACTTTAAAGGAAGTTTTTAGGCTTGGTTTGATGTTGTAAATAAAATTTTATTGTTAAAATCTGTTGACACTGTGTTACATATTTGTCACTGTCACCATATCAATCATTAACATTACAATACTGGACAGCTGAGTGTCTTGTTTTAGCAGCCTTCATGATTGTAAGCAGTGTCAAATATTTTAAGCATAAATATGTGTTCTGTTTGGACACAAACCTTTGCAACATGTTGAAATTATCATTACAGATAGGAACCATCCCCCATTCACTGTATTTAGCTTTGTATTACTATAGGACAGGGAGATATAATGAAGCACTATATATGACTTACCTAACTAAACGAAGACTATCCGAGCCCCATGTTATGTATGAAGGTATGGGAGACAGTAATAGATATAGGGAGTATGTGAATGGACTGTCTTTGTCAAGGAGAATTAAAAATGCTTGGGTATTGTCAATTATACTTCTCCCTGATATATGCTATATTGAAGAATTAACATTAGAACAATCGGCTGCATTTCAAAATTCACGTTATTTACGTATACCATCATGTGTAATAGTAGAAATGTTGTTAGTGTTATCTCACTATAGACTAGGTAATGGATCTCAGTGTTTACAGTCACTGACAGACCTATAGACACTGATGCTCTATGATTATAAGAGATGTGTTCCTTTAGAAAGGAGAAGTAGATTCTGGCAGATACTAGGAATCTGTCTGCAAGTTGTGGGAGACTTACACGGGGCGGTCTTATCAAGAGTCGCTTAAACAGGAGCCATTCCACAACATGCAAGAAGCTACAGATTTTAGAATAGAATGGGTTAAACAACAAATACAACGAGATGCTTACATGTAAAAATATGTTTTACAATGTTTTTATCGTAATTAGAAGAAACGTAGAAGAAACGTAGATCAGGACGCTGTACTAATGATAAAACTAAAAGAAAAAACAAATGAAACTTTAAGAATAATGATTTTTAAATTTTTGGCAGTTACTCGTACGATATTGGCCATTCTAACAGATAACATTGAGTTATTAGATTTACTTAAAAATTGGCCTGTCTAACAGATTTTATATTTACTTTATTTTGATATTTGATTTCAAAGTGCGTAATTTTTTCAAAGTGCGTTGCCACAAACCTCAAAATAAATATAAATAAGAAATAACTTTCTTTGTGTTTTTCGTCTAATTGGAGTTCAATATAATCCAATTCATATAACATGTAAAATGTTGTTAGCAGATGAATAGTATATGTACCTGTATAGCATCATTATCTGTAAAAAAAAAAAAAAAAAAAAAAAAGAGAAAAAAAACATCAATTAATTATTTTACTTGAAAATTGACAACTGCGTTACATTGTTTATACCTATCTATATCTAATGAATATTTTACTTTCATTTTTGTGAAAATCACTTTCTTTAATCATACCGTTAACTATGAACTAGTGTAGAATCCTTTTTTTGAAAACCACCCGTATGTACGATTTTTTAAGCAATTGAATCAATGAAACATACCATGATGTACTGATCAATAAAACAGAACTTGTTTATTATTACATGCGCATGTAATAATGAATAGTATTTATATTTACAATTAAATGATATTATAGTAACAAAAGTATACATTTGTTTGTTTATTTGGATTAAATAGATGTATAATCTCTGCAAACAAATTTACCACGGCCTATGCGGGTTATGTTTTGATGCCCCAATAATCGAAGATTAGTTTTGCCCTATCCATCTGTCTGTTTGTCTGCAAAACCTTAACCTTCCCCAAAATTTTTGATGTTATGCCTTTCCTATTCCACATGTGAATTTCTTGTGCAAAGACCTTTTGGTACCAACATAATTTTGACCTTGCCCTTGGAGTTTAACCCACTCTTGCAAATGTTTAAGAAACTCAAACTATGGGCCCCAAGATTTTTGAAAACAATGTGTTTATGAAACATTAATGCCCCCGCATGGCAACATAGCGAAGGTTAAACTTTTCTTACCTAAAAATCTAATAAATTAGTACGGATGTAGGGTTTTCTCAATGGAAATACAATTGCGAAATATCAAAGTAGACCACTGTTCATAAGGACGGAAATCTTCAAAGTCAAGGTCGAAAGGAAGGTCAAGGATATTGGCATCCAATGAAAGGTTTTGACACAAAGAATACATATGTGAAGTAATGAAGCCCTAGTCCTAACCCTTCAAAAGTTACGGTCAAGGTTAAATATTTTAAAAAGTAGGCGAGACTCCAAGGTCAAGGTCAAAATTCTTGAGACAATTTTTTTTCAGTACGTCAAACTCCATTGTTAAGGTCAAAGGGTCAAAGTTCTTAAAATCTCATGAAGGGTTTGTTTACAAGGATTACATATATGCAGTATGAGAGCAGTAGACTTTAGCGTTCAAAAGTTCTAGCCAAGGTAAAAGTTTTTCTTATAAGTACGGATATCTTCAAGGTTAAGGTCAAAAGGTCAAGGTAATCGTATCCAATGAAAGGAATTGCCACAAAGAATACACGTATGTATGTGAAGTATGGAAGCCCTAACCGTTCAAAAGTAATGCCCAAGGTTAAAAAGTAGGTCAAACTCGAATGTCAAAGGGTCAAAGTTCTTGATATCAAATGAAAAGACTGTCACAAGAATTAATGTGTAAAGTATGGAAGCACTAGCCCAAACCCTTTAAAATTTATGGTGAAGGTTTGCTTTTTAAAAATAGGTCAAACTTCAAGGTCGAGTTGTCAAAGTTCTTGGTATCCGAAAAAGGATCTTCTCACAAGAATTACATATGTGAAGTATGAAAGCACTAGTTCTTAGCGTTCAAAAGTTATGGCCAAGGTATAAGTTTTTCCATCGTCGCAAACCACGGCCAAAATGTACGCTCCTCTCCCATCTGGCCGTGGTTAAACGAGGAGAGAATTCTTCGTAGCTCATTAAAATATTGACCAATGCGAGTAAAGCATAGTCGGATGATGAACTTTATCGCGACCTTTCAATATCCAATCGCAGTATAAGAAATATGTCTTGTATACTGTTGACGTCAGTTGTTGATTTTGATTGCGATGGAAACAAAACTTGCCACTGACTGAATATGACGTCACAATAGAGAGGCGTAAATATTAAAGATTACGACACTTTTTGTGATCAAGCAGCCGCGGGTAGGAGAGAGCTATAAATGCAGACTCCGGACCGTGGCTTGAGACGATGAAGTTTTTCATAAGTACGGAAATCTCCAGGGTCAAGGTCAAAATGTCAAAGTTGTTCTTATCTCATAAATGGTCTTCCCACAAAAAATGCATATATAAAGTATAAAAGCCCT